AGGGGCGTGGTRAAGCTGTAAGGGGGAGTTTGTACCTTTGTGATATTCAATGTCRTGTACAGACAAGGGGGGTGTGGGTGTTGAATTAGAGTGTAATTTGCTGTTGCTTGTCCTGTGTAGCAGAGAGGATGCTGTTTGTGGAGACTGAGCTCCTAAGCAGTGAAGCAATTTCCAGCCTCTTCAAACATCAGCCAGCCCTTGCAAATGAGCACTGCTATATTTTTGTGCTTATTTGCAGGTATGCTCTTGCTGGTGGTTTTCCCAGTGTTCATTTTCAAATGAGGCCAGGTGCTGGGAACTCTCTGCCAGCACAGGGCAGAGCAAACAATGCAGSGAGATGAAAAAACAAAGATTTTTATTGGCAAATTACACAAGTGTCCCTAAAGTGTTTGGGTTTTTTCTGTTTGTTTGTTTTTAAAAGCAAGGTTTATCTGTGAAAAGTAAAGATCCATTTGCACTGCCTGGGGGGTTCAATCTCTTTCAGCCTCTGTTTACTTTACTCCAGCCCTTGGCTGAAAGCAAGATGCAGCACAAAGCAGGGATATTGCTGACGTGCTTTTTCCTTTCTGCTAAAATTATGGCTTTTTAATTAGCCATACCTTCAAATTTGGTTATCTTTAAACAGCCTTTTCCAGACTCAGTCATGTTTTGGGGTTTTCACCTGGTTGCCTTTTGCTGCTTTTTTAATTTGCTCATTTAAAAAGAAAATTCAAAAAATGAGATTTTTTTTTTTTCTTTTCCAAACCCTGCAGGGAGACAAGCAAGAGATGTGGCAGGTGAGCTGGAGGGATGGGGAGTGTCTTCCCTTCCYATGCCCAGTATGGCTGCTCACAAAGCAGCCCCTGACTGCAGCCCATTCCTGTGGGCACTTCACAGTGATATCAGCCCAAAAAAGGGGTCATTTGTCCAGAGTCCTGTCCACAACAAAACATGAAGTGAACAGGGCCAGCTTTAGGGACAGAGGTTGTTGACCTGACCATGGTGCAGCCGCACACTGAATATCAGATGTGAATTTTGCCCCTTGAAGGGATGSATGTCCTGTGGACACGGCCCATGTGGTGAAGTAGCTCAGGTTCCCATCAGGATGTGCTGGTTGCTAAGCCATTGCACTGGAGGAGCTGAAGTGGCATCATTTATCAGTTTTGCAGGAGCAACACCACATAGTTAAAGCTGTCTGCTGGAGCTCTGATGTTCTGGCAAGTAGCTCGTGTTTAAAAGCTGTGAGATGCTCCTGATGCTTTCTCTGGTGTTCTGGGATGGGCTGTGGCAGTCCCTGCCAATGTACATGATGCACCTCCCAAAGATGTGTCTATGGGGGAGTCCCATCCTCCTCTGGAACTTTCTATTGCTTTATCCCAAATCACATCTTTACTGAGGTCCTGGAGGAGCTATAGCTTGGAGGTCACAATAAACTCCCTTTGCTTAGGCAAGTGTTGAACTTCTCTTCCTGCCTTTCACTGTGTGGGTTGAAGGGTCAAAGATRATCCCTGGCTAGTTATGAGTGCCTCAAACCTGCTCATCTTGGACTAAAAGTCTTTTGTTTTTTTTTATTAATCTCTAAAAAGAAGCATTTGACTTGGACTTGATTTCTGTGGTACATTGTAATTCTCATGTGGCAGAAAAAAATCTACCCAAAGTGTAGGGTTTGAAAATCAGCAGTTAGACATGCGGAAAACCACTCTGTAGAAAAGAAGGAGGACAGGCAACAATCTGTGCAATTTTCTAGAAAAACTGTAGCAGACAGAATTTTTCATATTTCCACACATGTAGATGTGTTTTGGAGAGATCTTGACCCTTCCTCTATATCAGAACATCCTTGTTTGAGGCCAGTCCTCCTGTGCTCATCAGTGTTGGGAACTTGGTGCAGCAGAGAGCTTGCTGAACTTCCAGAAACTGAGGAATTCAAAATATTTAGTCTGACTTTTAAGAAACCTTTAATTGATTCAAAGCTCTAAGCTAGATGTTTCTCCTTCTCCACTCTTTCCCTTCCATCACATTCCTTTATCTTTATGTTCCTAGCTCTTTCTTCCTGTGGAGGAGGGGGGAAATTTGGTGAAATATAAATAAGCCTTGCTCTGTCTTTGAGGTCCTTTGAATTCTGTTCCTTTGCTGTTTCCACATGAATTTTGCACAAGGTCATACATTAAAACAGGAGCAGACCATTAGGTGCAGCTGTGGCCTGGCAGGGASAGCAAGACTCAGATCATCCCAGGAGCCATGGCCCCATCCTCATCTTTGCTATCCTGACCCAAGGCACTGCCTTGCACCTCCCTTCCCTCATCACTGTGACACATTTGTCACAGTGTCACAAATGCTGTGGGATCTACAGGGAAGAGCGAGATTACCTGATCACTCTGTTTCCAGCACCAGCTGGGCTTACAGAGCCCATTCTGCCCTCTTCTCTCATATTTCTGCCTGTTGCAGCCAAATTTGGTATAAGGAAAGACCTKCAAAGTTAGTTCATTTTCTGCAAGCACAATTAAAAATGGGTGATCAGGAAGAGGGGTGTGTTTGTCTCTAACTTCTGATCCCAGCTGCAGTGGGACACAGCAAGTCACAGATCACAGCCAAAATAATATCTGTGGAAGGACAATTGTGAGGGGATGTGGAAGGAGAATTTTGAAGGACTATGTGGAAATGACAGAACATTCAGTGATCCAGTTTTAACGGTCAATCGGCACAAGTTTGTGCAAAACCAGACATCATTGCTTTCAGTGTTCATCTGCTTGCTTATCATTAATAGGCAGAAGGAAGAAAAGGAMACAGAAATGTTGGCTCAGAGGTGAATGCTTTGGAGGGTGGTGGTGACAAYGTTGGTGGTCCCAGGTTAGGGGAAAATGGCACTGGGTCATTCTCCCTGAGGCAGAGCCATGAGCCTGTGGGCAGCCCCATCCCTGTTTCACAGAGCTCAGCAAAGATGCTCCATTTCCCAGAGAAGCTCCTGGAGCTTAMATGTGCCCATGAAAGTCAGCCAGTGCTTCACCGAGTGTGCGGGAGCGTGCCTGGGCTGTGTCAGGGCTGGGAGCTGCAGGGGTGGCAGTCACTGAACACAAAGCACCGTGCAMAGTTCTGCTGAGGCATCTGCACCATTACAAATGGTGTCTGCATGGCATCTTCTCCATGGTGGGTTTAGTGTGACACAGCTTGAGTTTCACAAGAGCCTTATCCACAAAGGTGCTGCGTGGCAAATTCATGCATGAAGTGTTTTGTGTGTGGGGAATTGCTTCATGCTGTGTTTTAAGTGCACAGAGCTGGAAACTGCCATCCCTGCTCTTTTCCCCAGCTGGASCTGCTTCTTCTGGCAATATATCATTTTGAGTTTCCATACAGGAATGGTGTGATCTGTGATAGGCAGTGCAGTAGCACTGGAGTGCTCTGGAGACCTGCAGAGTATTCCTGAGCTGCAGACAGAACCGAGAAGTTGCAGCTGCTTTCTCAGTTTCTCTCATGCCAAGGTTCAAGCAAGAGCAGCAGATTCAGAGAGGGCTCTCAGGTGGTTGTAAAGTGTCTGCTGATGTTGGATATGTCCAGATGTGACTGCAGTGGGATTTTATTTTGTTAGATCTTCACATCTTGGGTTCTGGATGCAGCTTATCRTTTACAGTCTTCACAAGGARAAAATGTGCATTTGGTTAGACATGRAAAGGATCTTTAAAGATCATCCAGTCTGTCCTGCTGCAGYGGGTAGGGGCATCTTCCATTGGATCCRTGCTTCAGGCTCTCCATTTAGTACACTTCTGCAGAAATCAGTGCAATCCTTACCCACTCTGCACATCTCCACTTTCCACCCTCCTCTAGTTTGTAAGCACCAGGGCCTCTCCCACTCAGTTCCAAGAGCTTCTTGATTGTAAAAGCTGAGTTTTCCATCAAGACTGTAGAAGTATTCTGAAACCAGAGACCATCTGATCAGGAAGAACAGTAAACTGGAATCACTGATTGATAGAAAAAGCATCTTGTCAGATAGGGAAGGGATCCTTTTTTATCTTTTGTTTTGATTAATGAAACTCTTTTGACAACTAAACACCTCTTTTTTCCTCCRCCTCATCCTGCTGAGTGCAGGTAAATCCTAAAAAAATTTTTTAGGTGTATTTTTTCTTTATGCTTGTTTTGACTGATGTTTGCCTCAATTCCCTCAAAAATATATTTTATAGAATTCTTGCATTTGGGAACTTTCAGAACTGCTTCAACTTAAAAATAAAGCTTTAAAATGTTTTGGCTTGGGTTTTTTTTCTGATTGTGTGGGGAGTGAAATGSAGAAGTTGGGATTTAATTAGAATATCAGTGTTTAAACGATATCTGAGGGCTTCTGTGACCTTTGGTAGCTATTTCTGTCAATATTGATTGAAAAGTGGTGGTTTACGGAATTTTTTCTTCCGGAAATGATTTGATAGACCTTCACAAATCTGCTGTAGTTTCCTGCTGCAGTTTCTTTGAGCCCACCTTTTCTCAAAAAATCAACCTTTGGAAGTGTTGATTTGCATTAACTCTTCTTTCTGCCTTTACTTTTAAAATCAAGGCAGACCCTATAGCTTTATTTAGAAATCACCCATCATTAGTAACCRCAGTAATTTAGTAGACATATTTACAAGGTAAGTGACAGTGGGAAGTAATTAAGTTTAATATAAATCACACTCAATTTCAAATCTGCAGGCTTCAAAATAGTAATTAATAGAATTGCAGCTTCTATAAAAAGATGCAGTATTTATGGTAGTRTCTTCTTTTTCCAGCTAAACACATTGAGTCTAGTGGAAATTAAAATCCCCTGTCTGTTCATCTTATTTGTTCCAAAGTTATTTTTTTCCTGTGGTGCACTTCCCTGCAAATTATCCATGGCTTTTATTCTTTGTGGGGAGATTTTTGACTCTTAAAATGATGATGGGGAGGAGGAAGAATTTGGCAATATGCACATGCCTTGCAAATGCACRTACCTTGAGCTGTGGCTTTCTGCTCCATCTGAGTTTTATGGATCAGTGCCTAACAACATGTGCTTTGTTTCACAGGTGTCATGCAGCTGACGGGTCTACTGGCAGAGYTGGTGGTCACAGCCAGGACAGAACTTCATTAAACAAAAAGAGTCAAAAATCTGGGAAGTTTGGAGCTGTTTGCAAGATCTGCTGASTTGGTTGCTCACTCTGTCAAAAGAAGCCACCGTCTGGGACACAGCACACCGAAAGCAGCTGCCATGGCTAGCAAAAGAAAGTCCACAACTCCCTGTATGGTGCGAACTTCTGAAATCGTGGAGCAGGAAGGTGCCGAGGGCGTAGAGACTCCTAAAGACAAGGGGAYTGGTGCATCACAGCAGGACTCAAAAAAAAATTGGCCTTCAGAAAACTCAGTCAAGGACTGCGAAGTGGTTGAGGCAAAGGCCCCAGCTGAAAATCAGTCTAAGAAACCCCAGGGTGGTTATGAGTGTAAGTACTGCCCTTACTCAACACAAAACTTAAATGAATTTACAGAGCACGTTGACACTCAGCATCCAAATGTCATTCTCAACCCCCTGTATGTSTGTGCTGAATGCAACTTCACAACCAAAAAATATGATTCTTTATCTGACCACAACACGAAGTACCACCCGGGAGAGACTAATTTTAAACTGAAATTAATTAAACGCAATAATCAGACTGTTTTAGAGCAGTCYATTGAGACCACCACTAACGATGTCACTGTCACAAGCAGTGGGTTAGAAAATGCAGAGTGTGACGATTCRCTTCACGGGGGAATCAGTGCAAATAAAGTGCCAGCGATGAAAATGGGAAAGCCTAAAGGGGAGAGCAAGAARGGATCCAAAAAGCCAGAAGAGGGAGTTACGGAAAACCACGTGGATGGTGCTCTCCCCCGCATCATAACTGAAGCCACTGAAGCTATTGCTTGYATCAATGGAGACCTGCTCCATGACGTGCTAGCCCACGTTATGCCCTCTGTACAGCTGCCACCAAATATCAACCTTGTCCCCAAGGTCCCGGTCCCTCTGAACAGTACCAAATACAACTCTGCCCTGGACACTAACGCAACCATGATCAACTCCTTTAATAAGTTTCCTTACCCAACGCAAGCAGAGTTGTCATGGTTGACAGCAGCGTCAAAACATCCGGAAGAACAAATCCGAATCTGGTTTGCTACGCAGCGTTTGAAGCACGGTATAAGTTGGTCTCCAGAAGAAGTGGAGGAAGCAAGGAAGAAGATGTTCAATGGTACTATCCAGGCAGTTCCCCAAACCATCACCGTCCTGCCAGCTCCTTTGGCAACTGCAAAGATGCCACAGCCCATCATCCAGACAGCTTTGCCTTGTCAGATCCTGGGCCAGACTGGCCTGGTTTTGACGCCTGTGTCAAATGGTTCAACTGTTTCCTGTTCACCAATTACACTTGCTGTTGCCCCAAACCAGGGGCAGAAGAGGACGATACAGACTTTATCAAGTGCCCCAGAGCCCAAGCGTCCTCACGTAGTTCAGGTGCCTGAGATTCCTGCCAAGCTGACTGCTGTTCCGGTGACACCGGCCAGCGAGCGGAAAAAGACCAAGGAGCAGATCGCAGAGCTGAAGGCCAGTTTCATGGCAAGCCAGTTTCCTGATGATGCAGAAGTCTACCGGCTTATAGAGGCAACAGGTCTTTCCAGGAGTGAGATCAAGAAGTGGTTCAGTGACCACAGGTACAGAAGTCAGAGGGGCATTGTGCAAATTCCTGGTGATGCTTTAGGGAAAGACCAAATAGCACCTTCAGCTGGTCGACATGGCCGATCATTTCACCCTTACACRGATTTTACTTCCCAGAGATTGAAAGAGAAAACTCAAGAGCAGCTTAGGGCCCTTGAGGAGAGTTTCTTAAGATGCTCTTTTCCTACCCAAGGAGAATTGGACAGGCTTCGAGTGGAGACTAAGCTGAGTAGGAGGGAGATAGATTCATGGTTTTCTGAGCGGAGAAAGATAAGAGACAGCATGGAGCAAGCTGTCTTGGACTCAATGGGATCATACAGAAAAATTAAGGATCAAGGAACTCCCAATGGTGCAATAAGCCAGGCAGAACTTCTCCGTAGCTCTCAGCTCCCTGGTGCTTTATCTGGGTCCTCCACCACATTGAAGAAAACACAAGAGCAGATTCATCTACTGAAAAGCACATTTGCAAGGACCCAGTGGCCATCACCGCAGGAGTATGACCAGTTAGCATCTCAGACTGGGCTCACGAGAACTGAAATAGTTCGCTGGTTTAAGGAAAACCGGTCTTCACTAAGAACAGGGTCACTTAAATGGATTGACCAGTACCAGCAGCAGTATGCTGGTGATGGTCATAACAAGCAAAGCCAGAAGAAGAGCTCAAAACATGCTGAGAGCCCAAAGAATGGTAATGAGGTGTCTCGGCAGCATTACCAGGAACATAAAAAACTGAATGAAGAGAATGGGGGGAAACCAGTGGTGAGAGCAAAAAGAGACTGCGAACCACTGAAAGACTCTTTGTTGGGCAATCAAGCAGAGGGTGTGGATAGGCTGGAGTGCAACAGCCACGATGGCCACGGCAGCGAGGAGAACGAGGAGCCGGCAGAGGTCAACTGGGTGGAGGTGACAGTGGGCGAGGAGGACGCTGCCTCGGATTGTACGGACAGCTGGAGCCAAACRGCCCCCGAGGGCCACACAGAGCTGGCAGACTTTGACTCTGAAAGTATATCTGGRGACAATTCCCACGTATAGACAGGTAATGCTGATGGTGCCCTGTTTCTCTGAGCCTGCCTTTGTCTGGGTGTGCTTCCAGCATCCTGGAGCCMCTGTTCAGTATAAATCCCTGGAGCCCATCCCTGCCGGATGCTTGTGTCTGATGGATGCCTGAACAAAAGGGAGACCCATTTCGCTTGTAAATTAAAGCTAACTGCACGGTAGGGGAGGGATTAGTGCCATTTGCCTTATTTCTTGTCTCCTTGTGGGTCAAGTCCTGGATAAGGGAGGTTTTAATAATTTTTTTTTTTTTAATAAGTGGTTAAACCCTAAAACTTTCTGCCTTTAAATAACCCGTGTAACCTCTGCAGCACTTTACATAAAGCATGCTAGCTGAGCCACACAAAGAAATAGTAAGTAACACTAGGTGCTAATATTCCCCTTGCTGAGAGATCACTGAATAGAGGCTGTGCCTGGTTTTTCGTCTCAGGTCCTTCCTTTTCAGTATCCTGCCATGGTCAAAACAAAAGGCCACGGGGGGAAGGACCTAGGACAGAAATGCTTCTTTATGCAAAAACAAGCAAAAAAAAAAAAAAAGGGACTGAAGTGGCTCATGCAAATGTGCTTTCTTCCTCTTGCAGGTGAGAACTGTCTCCAGCCTTGCTTTGTTCTGTTTGCTCACACTACAGGCTTAGGAAATGCCCCAGACTAAGCTGTGTGGGTGTTTAGCAGCTCCTCTTCACAGGATCTTGAATTTAAAAGCAAGCTGCAGGGTCTGGCTGTAAGAGGGGTTTATACAATCTTTCCCAATGTGAAAGGACTTGTTATTTGGRGATCTGAAACCTGTTTCTGATCACAGTTGCACAGGTGTAAATCTGGAGCAAGCACTGTCAGCATTTYTTGACTTGCATGTTGAATTGAGTTCACTGGAGCCTCTAACAGTTTGTGCTCAGTATGACTGAATCTGTCTCTCCCAAACCAGAGTTTCCTTAAGCCAGAGATTTAGAGCTTATCCTACAGAAAGCTCAGCATTCTGCATTAAAAACCATAGTGAGAGAATACTTGTTTGATTTGATAATTTGATAATTTGATAATTTTTTGGTGTCTAATAAGTAAAATATTTAGCATTTCTTTAAAAAAAAACTAAAAATACAAAACCCAGGACTGATAGAAGTGCCTCCACACTTGTTCTTAAGACTTCTACTATTATAGCCACCGGTACTTGGATTGAACTCCCTGTTCTGAGGTCTAGGTTTTGGTAGCAAGCCCTGCTGGCTAGCACTCCCCTTTCTCTGTGTGCAATATTTGTCCAGAGGTCTCCTGGACRTTTTGTCTGAGTTGAAAAGGAAGACCCTGAAGTGGTATTATTTTTAACTGTGAATTCTGTCAACAAATATTGCGAATTGTTATGACAGCACCTATATAACAAAATATCTTAAAGCTTCTGACTGCAGTGCRAGGCACAGTCCTGCGTTACCTTTGAAAAAGTTGGTAATTAGGGATGTGAGGAGCAGGTGTTACCTGCGTGTCAAAGGCAGGGATTAAAGGAAGAAGGATGTGGGAACATCAGCCAGAGGCACGCTGGGGTGCCATGGTGTGCAGCCACATAAGAAGGAAGAGCCAGGATCTGATCTGCCTTTTAAAGTCAAATGTGTGATGAATAAATGCATTGTGGGCTCATTTCTTCTCTGGGTTGCTGTTCCAGACCATTTTTCCCTTCTAGCTACAAATACTGATTCTGAGAAGAGGGAGCACACCGAAGACTAGGGGACGGAATGGGGAGGAAGGCAGGCAGGAGCGGGGGGAGTTGCCTGAAACTGCTGTTTCTTACAAACTCTGGTGCTGTGAAACCAAGCTCTGCACCAGCATGGGGTTGSTGCCTGTGTTTTTGTGCTTGTGAACAGGGTCAGGTATGTTGGAGTGAACCTCCTGCCTCTGTGCCCTGGGACAGATGTTGACCATAACGTTCCAGGGCTCTGGAGTTATCAGAGAGGAWTTTTTTAAGAACTTTGATCTCAGTTAAACAGCTGCTGAGTGATCCTATTGGTGAGGAGCTTTCTGGTGGTTGTGTGTAAAATACTCTCACTGAGAAAAGGTGCACTGGAGCAGCACTTCTGCTGCAAAGGACGAGCAGTAAGATCAGARGGCCATTTTGTCCTCTGCTCTTTGCTTGTTCCTCAGTGTGCTGGCCTGRGGAGCATGACATGTCTTTTTAATTTTCCTTTATTCTGTCTGTAAGTGCAGCCCAGAAATGCAGGTGCCTGCTCTCTGGTGCACGTGGAGGCATTGTCACAGTTGCTGTGACACAAAATTTGGAAGCTTTATACCTTACACTGATGGAAAAATGTCAGCTACTTTTTCTGAGCTTTCATTGTGCAGCCAATCTTAGAAATTTCAGCTAAAACTCTGGTGTTAAATTAACAAGGTGTTGTCTTAAGTGACATCCAGGGTATGACTCAAAAGCAGATACTGTGTTAAAACCTGACAGAGAGCTCATTTCTTCCTGTTGTCATAAAAGCCAAACGTATTCCTTGGGTACCACATGTAAGAGATGGACTGAAGAGCTGGCAAGGGACTCCTCTTGACTCTCACACTTACTGTGAGTGAAAGGTGTGAACCTTTGCCTGCTGAACCCTACATCAGGCAGAAGCACGCTCCTTTTGTATTCATGGTGTTGCTGTTATTGCAGCTGGATGTACATCATGTAAAATGAATATTTGGTGGTGATTCACCTCCATACTCCTCTTGACTGAATTTGTGTGTGGATTCTGTAAAAACTCAGCTCTTCCAGATCATCTTGGTCACTCTCTGCTCCAGTATGTGGCTTTAGAAAATTTTGGAATAATTAGAGCGTTTGTGTTACAGCCTAGACAGGCCTTGTGCCTTATAAAACTGACTTTTTTCAAAACTGGTCCGTGTTTGGCAGATTTTGCTGCTGCTGCAGCTAGAAGGAATTTCACAAGGGACTGGGCCTCTGTGAGAGCAGGAATCGTGCAAGGCTCTGAAATGCCATCCGGGGACTGAGGAGAGGCTCTGTTACTGAGTCTTYATCTGAAGCTTTTGGCAAAATGGGATTTATTCCATGGAGCAGGTCAGGTTTCTTGAACAGAGAGGTTGGGAGAGCTGTCCCTGTGGGGTAGCAGGCCCTTTGTAGGGTGCACTAAAGCCATCTCTGAAAGTGTTCCAGAGACTGTCATGCAGCCTTGGGTCCTGTCCCTCTTGTAGTGAGGCCCAGCTGCTCTGTCAGGAGAGTGCTTTAGCTCCCTTTCCATCAGTAGAAATTCCTRCCTTCCTGTGCACAGGTCTGTTGTCCTCCTTTGCACAACTTCACAATTAGAAACTGGTTCTAAATGAAATACAGCAAGCTGCAGCTCAAACAGGAGAGCAGCACCAGAGGTGCCAGAGTGTTTGGCAGGTGCTGCTGGCTTTCTTCAGCGTTGTCTCCTTGTGGGATTTTCCCAAGATCAGAGCTTTTGTTTTTTCTCAGAATTATACCATTTTCCCTCATCACCACCTTTCCACAGTCTTTTTTTAGAGTTTCATTTTTAAGCATGAACCCTGCAAGATGCAGGCACCAAAGTCTCTGGCTCATGGTGGGAACRAGAGCACCCTGGTTCTTAATGGCTGTGACCACTGCTCTGTGGAGATTTGCCAAAGTAAAACCAGGTGTGGARGTTGCACACTGGAAAAAAGGAAAAAAGCCTGAAGACAGCCACTCCTTGCATCTGCTGAAGGCATGATACTGAGCATCAGAGGTAGTCTGGGTCCTCTTGGCATCTCCAGCCCCTTCTGCACTGCTGCAGGAGCACTTGTTTGATGGTGGCCCAGTGCATTCCTCTATCTGCACTCAAAGTGAACACCAATGAGGATTTTCACTTTCTGCCCAAGGTCTCACTTTTCCTGAGGTTTAGGGTTTCATTAAAAAAGCTAACTATAGTGTCTGCTACTGGTACTGGGCCCCAAATCAGCGTCCTGATGTGAGTCAGCATGGGATTCACCAGTGGATTTTGCAGAATGCAGGTCACCCTAGAACATTTGAGGGAATGAGGCTGAAATAGGGAGGACATGCCTTTTCCTCTGAAAGCTGTGAGCTGCATAGAGACCCAAGCTCTAATATAATGAAGGATTTCAGAGGGAGAAGCAAAACCCAATGCAGCAATTAAAATTTTGCAATGAGTCAGAAGGARCAGGGGCCTGTGTGGGAAGGTCTTGAGGACTGGGGGAAGGACTTYTCCCCTTGGTGTTGGTGCAAGCCCATGGCCTTTTGCTGGGCTTRACTGCATTGCTTTCTACATTGCAGATGCCAGATAGAGCTCCCTGCTTTTGTGGKAAATAACAGACCAGATAGCAACATCCCGAAGAGGTGTGAAATAGCGAGTTAGCTCAGGTTTCACTGAGTATTGCTGCAGGGTGGGTGAGGAGGATGTTTGCACTTCATACGTTCGCACCTCAGTGGGCAAAAACAGCATAATCCCTGTCACAGAGCCTTTGCTTTCTGCTGGGAACTGGGGATACATGTGAATGGGTGGCTGTTTGAAAGTTGGGTTTGGAGGGGTTATTTTTTAATCTCTGGTCCAGCGTGCAGCCTTTATGTAGGTGCAGGAGTCATGGTGGAGCCAGGAAGCTGCTCTGCAGAGCACAAGCACATCCAGCTTTTTACATTGTCTTGCAGTTGTAAAATCATGTATAGCAAAAATTATTATGTGGGGATTTGCTAGGGGAGAAAGACCTGAAGTCTTCTTGGCTTTAGCACTGTCTGTCCTGTGTTTGCAAAGTCGTTGCCCCAAATRCACGAACGCACCCTCTTGGAGTCAGTGTGAGAATTTGAGCCAAGGCTGGACTGTGTATCCCTGTAAGAAATCTGCAGGGGATTATCAACTGGGTGTTATGTGCAGCAAAAATCCAACACCCTACTACATCAGGCTGTGATAAGGGTAGGCCTCAGTACAGTTAATACAAAATAATGTTACTATATGTGCAGGGATGTAAACCGTGTACCATGTTATTTAACAGCTGCAGTCGCTCATAGTGCCTTAAAAATAATACACTGCTGTTACAATTTTTGCAGGGGTACTCCTCAGCTGCACTGGCCTGATGTTGAAGGGGAAATGCTGTCTGAAAAYAGAAGAAAACTCTATTTTCCTGCCTGGGGTGAGAGAGCATTTTGTGRCTCCAAGTCTCAAACTGCGCTTGTGAAGGCACAGCAAGCAATTCTCTCGTGGAGCATCATAACGGAATTGTTGATAGTGCCAAAGTCCTACTACTGCGTTRCAAAGGAGAAGAAAGAAAGAGGAAMGGGTCCTTGTACATAGCTTTCTCTTAGTTTCTCTCCCCCCTGCTTTCCTGCCCAGCCTCTTCCTCTACTGGAACAGATTTGTACAACAKAAAAATTTTGTTAATTTTTTTAATAGGTGCAAGTTATAATGCAGTTGAGAAAWTTTGGGATTGGTTGGGGGGAGGGAAGTGTCTTTTGTTGGGGAGGGAGACAAGAAATTTTTTTTTTCCTGAACTGTTTTAAGAAAGAGTTGCAATCTTTTGGAGTTGTCTTGGTGCAGATCAACACCTGAGCCCAGATCCCCACCCTGGTTTACATTTCAGACCAGTTAAACATGTTCTGAAGTGGTGGGGTTTGTTTTTTTTTCTCATGTTGTTTTGACTCTTTTATTTTGTTCGATGGCCACCTGCTAGTGGTTGAAATATTTAAATCTCTGCTTTTCCGTGCTCCTACAAGGCAAGTCTTCTCCAGCTCCTGTACTTCACTTTTCACCATCCAGCCCCAGCTGTAGGTCTCTGAAGATTTGGCAAGAATGCATTTCATTTTTTGGTTGTTRGTTTCTTTTGGGGGGCTTTTTAGCACTTTTTGTTTAAACATGCAGTACAACCCCCAGAGGGGTTGGAGCGAGGAAATTAAGATGCTTCATAATCCAAACCTGTGTTTCTTTGGCTGGAACAGTGATGGACACCRTAACCAGCAGTCTGCCCTCCAGCTTTAGACGTTGCAGCGCACAACAGAAGTTTCTTACTAACCCTTGCCACTACATTTTTAGATCACTCCTGGGTTCCTGAGTGCACTTTTTTTCACATACTGCTACTTTGGATTAGTGTGGGGGTGTCTGTCTGTGCACATGTGAGGAGGGGATGGAGGGAGAGCAGGAGCCTGGGTGCAAGAACCGTCCGGTGCGTTCTCTGCCGAGCTGGGTTTGGAACACTTGCCCACCTTTCCGTACGCTGCACAAATAGGATGCTAGGGCGTTTGAATAAATCCAACTTTTCTAACTTGTTGCTCATTTGTTGTAACTCAGTAAAACAAAGGCTAGACATTTTGGTAACCTTTTTCTCATMTCTTTATTTTATTTTACTTGAAAATAAAAAATAAAATTAATGAAACCCAAAAACATGAAACTCAAACTCAGCCCAAACTTTGTGCACAGGAGTTCGGTGTCTTTAGAGCTGCAATGAGGGTTTAAACTGGTTTTGCGTTATTTGGCTTAGCAAATACTAATGGGATTAAAGTGAACGCAGCAAATACTGATGTTTATTCCCCCAAATCAGTCAGCTCTTTCTGGAAGGAGGCATTCAGATAGTGCCKGGGAATGAGCCTTTGGGGAGCACCTTTTATTTTGATTGCAGTCACAAACCAAATGACTGAATGAAACCACCCCTGTTGCCTCACCCATATGTAGTTATTTTTATTAATCATCAGCACAACATCTATGTGTAGAGGGAGATTTGCAGTGGGTGGCAGCAAGTGTATTTCTTTACAGTAAAGCTGTCTGGTTCATTGCTGAAGAGGAGTGACTGGATGGGGCAGCACTTTGCTTTCTGCATTTGTGTGTCACAAGTCAACAGAGAAGGTGACATCAGCTCCTCACTGGGCAAAGGCTGCAGGACAGGGACCGTGCACGTGTCCCATCACACACTGCTCAGATGTTCATCTGCAGGGTGGAGGCAGTCAGGGATGCAAACATCAGGTGATAAAAAGGAAAATCCATCTGAAGATGCTCCTCCAGAACTCCAAATTTGTAACTGAAACTAATTCCTGCTTTTGTTTGCATTGTTCACATGAAAGGATGGTAACATTTTAATTGCCCTTACGAAGTTTTTAACAGCCACTTGATGGCTTAATATTCCAGTTTACACCTCTCCTGTCTGATGTGTGTGCACTTCTGCGTTTGGAGCACTGACCTACTTTGCTTAACTAGCAGTGCTCCCAGAGAGCTCAGCAAGAGGTTTAGGAAGAGCAWAACCCACCTGGGTTTTTCCATATTTGTACATCCCAGACCTGGGATTAGGGCCCAGGACTGGGGCTCTTTAAGCTCTCTGCAATCCAAATWAAACAATAGCAGTGGCCCTGCAGTCTGTCATCACACAGATCAGAAGGCTGAAGCTGTCCCCCAGCAAACAGCCTGGCCAAAGCCTGGCACAGCCTCTGCAGCGTGGGCAGCCTGGTGGCACCGGGGGGTTGTGCCYGCACTTTGGGGTGTGGTGTCAAACCTTTGGGCTCCGGGAAAGCCCAGCCCAAGACCCCTTTGAGCTCCAAGCAGCCCAGCTCTGCACACAAGTTGCTTCAGYGTGGCTGCCGGGATGGGTTCAGGAGCTGGGCCCTGCAAGCAGGCTTTGTTCTCAATTAATAGGGACGCGGTGGCTGCGTTTCTGGGAGAGTCCAAGCGGCGAGGGACAATCGGGCCTTTGTTTGTGCTCGGCAGCCATTGGGGACGGCCTTGGCCTTGGGGTTTGGTTGCACACAGTGAAAGCAGGCTGCTGACACGGAGTTTCCTCCCACACAGCCCTGCATCCTGGAGCCKGGCGCTGGCACTCCGAGCTGGGCCTGGCCTGGCAGAGTCCGGAGCGGGGACACRGCTCGGGACAGCCTTTGCCCCTGCTGATTGACATCTTTCACAATGCATTTTAACCTAAGTGTTGAAATTTTCTAATTGGAAGAAATCTCATTGTAAACACACAAAAATAAATCAGATTTTTTAACTTGTGCAGCACTTCTAGAAAAGTGTGGCTTGTAGAAAAATTCACCACTGGGAAGTTGGYAACGACTTGAATTAGGCAGCCTCTACTTTTTTAATTTTGTCTRTCTTTTGCTGACAAGAGGATGGATTTTCATTATTTACACACATTACTTCTGCTTGGTCCATAAGATGCTGGGAAGCTCTTTACTGATGTCAGAGATCTGGGAACTCCAAATACATAACAGCACAATTCAGACAGGTCAGACTGAAATGTGAATAGTGAGAGACCACTCAGATAACAGAGATGAGCATCACAGAATGGTTTGGMTCACAAGGAACCTTTAGAGGACCATAATTTTATTCAACACCACTGCACTGGGCAGGGACAACTTTTGCTACATCTGGTGGCTCAAAGCCCTGTTTAACCAAGCCTTGGGAAATTTTGGGGCAGYAGCTTAAGCAACTATAAACTTCCTGTAGTCTAAATGGTTCTGTTTTCTCAAATACTATTTTTTTAAAAAGAAGAAAAAGAGGGAAGAATAAAAGTTCTTCACTTTTCAATCACAATTCTGCCATAGCACCATTTCTAACATCAAATCTCCAATTCTGACCTCTAGGAACTTTCATTTAAAGTGTCACTTTGTAAGTTAGCCAGTGAGTGATGCAAGAAATCTGCATCTGCAGGGTAAATCCCAGCAATTGCAGKAATCACTCTAAGAAGTGTCCTAGCACCATGTGTATCACTACAAGCTGGAAGGAAAGTGCTGGGTTATACAAGAAATCTGAGTGATTATGAGCATAATGATAATTATGATGATAACTTAAAAATCTGGATAAATACACAGGTAAAATGGCAACCAAGATAAGTAATATTTATCTATTGCCATTGGCAGAAATGCCATTGGCAGAAATGTAACCACTTAAATATTCCTTATCTTCTTGTAGCCCTCGGATATTCTTAGGTAGCAAAAAGACTCATCCTGAAACCTTCCCAGCTTACAGAAGGAGGTAAAGAATAGATTTCAGAAGCACATAAGGCAACATTGTAGGAAGTCCATTTGGCATCTTGCTGGGAAGGAAAGAGCACACAGCGATGGAAATGAACTTTTTTACTGTCTGCTGGGTAAAGAGAGAGACCTGAGAGGGAAATCTTCTGTACTCATTTGGTCAGAGACTATTGGAAAGCAGTTATGAATGGAGCCTGTGGCTCTTGAGCRTAACACTGAAAATATTCATAATACAGTAGGAAAAGTGAAGGCATTGAGTGAAAGGAAGAGAATGTGAGGTACTCAGTGAAGGAATGAAAAACCAGTCAAGGTTTCTTGGGTGTTACGCAGTTGAACCATATCCCAATCAGATTATTGCAAGCTCTGGCGAGGACAGAGGTAAGAGGTGAGTGACGGGGCAATTGTCAGAGCAAATCACACAGCAGATCTTGAGCACAGCAAGCAAAAGCAGGGGGCTTCTATTGTTTTCTTATTTCCATTAAACATGCACCAAAATGGTAGTGACAATTATATTAAAATTATCATAATTTACATGWACTTAACATACAGCAAGCTGGCTCAGGCACAGTAAATCTTTGTAGCTTTTTCAGTACACAAACGCACCCTTACCTTCCTCTTTATTTTAATCTTTCTTAAAGTCTAGATCATCCCAGTGCAATATATCATGTAAAATTTAGCGTGCAGCAATTTTGTTCTAAAAAATAATTAGTTTTGCAAACATTTGTGAGACAGTTAAAGGAATAATAGCATTAACCCAAGTTTATGGACAGAGAAACTGAGATGTATGTAGGTATTCACAAGACTGCTGAAGAAATGTGCTAAAGGCAAGAGTTCAGTTCAGCTTGGCCTTGTCTTGACTCCTCAGCAAGGAAGCTTCATTTTATATTTGTATCAAATCATTGCTGTTTCATTGGCATTTCTAAGCCTTTCACCTAAAGCCTTTCCCTTCACAGGAGGCAAAGACATGGCCAGAAATGAGCAGACTGGGACTGGGGCTTCTCAGAGACCYTCATCCCACACAATCCTGCCAGGACATCCCTCTTCCCCAGCACAACACTCCAGGCAAAGCTTTCACCTCTGTTCCTTAATTAATTCCTTCCACCTTTCAGTCTCTTCCTAAACATCCTCCACCYTCCTTCCCCAGAGACCTCTTTGGGGAGGTGTTGTGRTTTAACCCCAGCTGGCACCTCAGCCCYACACAKCTGCTCACTCACTCCCCCTCGGCTGGATGGAAAAGAGAATTGGGAGGGTAAAAGTGGGAAAATCCCTGTGTACAGATAAAGAGTTTAAGAAGTAAAGCTAAATCCATGTACACAAGCAGAGCAAACATGAAATTCATTAACCACAGCCCRTGGGGAGGCARGTGTTGAGCCRTSTCCAGGAGARCAGGGCCCCATCACATGTAAYAGTGACTGGGGAAAACMAACACCATCACTCCAAACATCCCACTCTTCCTTCTCCTTCCCCAGCATTTATTGCTGAGAAYGGCRAATGGTTTGGGATATTACAGCATCATAGAGTGGTTKRGGTTGGAAGGGACCTTGCCAAATTCAASTCAGTGAAGCACAGATCCAGAACATACCCCCATACCAGCTACTGTGAAGCAAATTAACTCCACTGCATCCAAAACCAGAACAGGGAGCCCTGGGGAGAGGTGCCAGGTGCTC